AGATTCGGAAGTCTCTTGGGACCACCCAGCTGTCTAGTTATTGTTCAATCACGGAAGTGTTCGATGTGCATTTTGAATTTAAATTACTTATTTAATATTTCTATATATTCATAGAGCATCTTTTAAATTTCGATTCGACTTCGATAACCACCATCGAGTTGATGTTATACAAAAGAGAATGATAAGTTTTACAATTTACACTACTGATAATAATCATGTAAACCTAAACTTATATTACAAGCTAAAATTGAAAAAATGTGAATTAGAACCATATTTTATTAAGACTTGTGAAATTGTATGGCATATTTTTTTAAACCATAAATAAAATTTAAGTATGGCGCAATAATTTAGCAAGTTTCTACTTAAATTTTATTTTTTCATTATGACCGCCTAAAAAATATGTGCTTAATTTTTATACTTATAAAGTTATTGCAAGTTTAGGCGTCTAATTTTCAGTTCCTTGTATAAATTATTTGTTTTGTTCAGTAAACTACTCTATTTATATTTCCTCTATTGTATTATTTAAAAGATCTCTTATATTAGACTCTTATATTAGTGATTGAGATATGATTAATTATAATGCTTTTAAAAATCTACCCTCCATGGTAAACTATATACTATTGGTAAGCATATCAAGTTTTATTCATAGGTTTATGTATACAAAATTTGTTAAGAATATAAACCTAAATCTAATTATTATCTAACTTAATAACTGTTCATTTGAATCCAGGAGCTTATTATATAATTCTACAGATATTTTTAGTTCCTTGTAATTTTGAAAGAATTTTTCTGATTAAGATTATCTTGGAGTTGACGTCGCTTGCATCAGAATCTCATTTTGATAACATTTTTTGATATGAATATTCATATTTTTGGCTTAGCCCCACAGTTGCAGTCCGTAGATGAAAACAGGTTGTTCGCGCCAAATTAAAGCATGCCGATATATCGATACAAACAAAAAATTATTAATCCAAAATCATCCTAAAAAAGCCAATCATTACGATATTTAAAAACATTGAAATTATTGTAAATACAATTATAACTTGTAATTAGTTTAAAATAAACACATAAAATTACAAATAAAGTGTTTTACAAATAATCTATGGTCCTTCAAAAAATCAATCAAACCATTGAAAAAACCATTGGTCCTTCGAGCCGGATTTGACATCCAGTAAAATCTAATACAAAAACACAGGTTTTATAATTTTTTTGCACTGTGTACTAATTTATAATACTACAATTACTACCGTAGGTTTTATTTAAATTTTTTGAATTACTACCACTATTACTACTACAAGTTATACATAATCAACATTGAAACGGAATCCCATTGGGAGCCCTTTCGCCCTTTTTTCTAATATAATCAACCATCAAAATACTGAATGTTATTTCGAACGACAGATTGTAATTCATAACAGTAAATATTTTTTTTAAAAAAAATTGTTTACAAACTATAATTTTAGGAAAGCAGGGAAAAACAAGTGCCTGACGAGGAAACACTTTAGAGACGGGCAAAGGATTTTATTTATTAATTAACTACTGAATTCCTCTCATTGTGACGAAAGGATAAAGTTAAATAAACAGTGATTTATAGCGATATCTACCGTATCGAACTGCCGGTCACCGAGACATACATTGCGCAACGATAAATAGCCTGGCCGAGCGACCGTTTAGCCGGTGCAACGATCGGGACTGCATTCCGCAATATTGCATTCATAATAATGCATCGCCCTCTATCTCGGTGACAAACAATTCTAGAAACGAGAAAACTATCACGAGCAACAATTATAACATTAGATACATTCTGGGCTCGCCCGTAGGTAAGCGGTTAAGAGCGACGGGACCTAAATCAGAGGTCGCGGGTTCGATACCCACTTCGAGCAACCTGTTGTCAGGCAGCAATGACAACGATTTTCACTTGGATATATAGGTAGCAATATGTTTCCAAGTGAAAATAGCCCTCGCCCGGCATTGCTGCACCAATAAAAAAAAGTCAAATGTGGATGGATTAACCATTAGGTTACCATCTAAAAATACGAAGTAAGAAGAAGTTTCAGCCCAACAGCTCATAGGACGTAAGGTTCTGATTGCTGCTAAAAATATAATAAAAAAAGATACATTCTAGGATAAGTTTGTTGTAGGATTAACTTATTGGTCTTATGCTGCAGTAACATAAGAGAGGCTAAGGACATAGAACGGAATAGTCTTATGAGCTTTTGTGTTCGAACTCTTCCTCTAGGATATTTTTAGATGGTAACTCAAATATTTATATTTAATAAATTTTTTTTATTTTTTTAATACTGATTATATATTATTTAATTACATACAGCTATGCAAAACGTTAATAGCAATATTCAGATTATACATCGTTATCCAAATAAGATTTTGGAATAAGTAATCTCAGCTCCTGCTAGACTAAAATTAAACTATTGATTTTCTCATTAGAGAAAAATAATTTAAGGTCGTTGGAAATGTTATGTTAAAAATCACTGGGATGTATGCGTGTAATTATTTAATAATAGAGCTGAATTGATAAATATGTGTTATCTATTAAAGTTTTTATATTCAACTTTCCCATATCGACTTCTTTTCATAATGCATATATCTAGGCAATATATCAAGGCAAATTACAAATAACTCACATATCTCTTACTTTCGCAATAAATATGAGCTGCGACAGCTTCTTCAAAATCCGTGAAGTTATTTGTGCTCATGCTAATGAAAACAGTATACATGTTTAAGTGGATAATTTACATACTAATATGAAAAGTTGCAGGAAAATAAATGAAGTCGTAAAGGCCACAATTGCATATATCGACGACATATTTGCAATATTGCGAAAACAAAACAGAATAATAATAAATGGATTGAAGGTCCAGTAGTAATACTTCACAGAAGTACGTGTTTTACGTATGCAGAAAACACTGATACTTCAGTTTCTAAACTTATTGATTAAATAATATAATATCACAGTCTTCGATTTACATATTCCTAACATCCCAGACTATCTATTTCATTTCCTTTACCAGATTGCTCAATAAAACCATATCGCTGTGAGAAAAATCGAACATCATCTCCATTTCCAATAACAGTAAGCAGTTGCATCATCAATAAAGATCATTTCTACCATTTATTATCGAAGTAAAGACAATGATCATGATTTTACAGAAGTTTTATTGTTAAAAAACTGCACTACAATAGTCTTTATGTCTCTGAAAGCACGAAGTCACTTATTTGTCGCGATATCACATTTCGACAGAACACGAAATGGAATGTGAAATTGCGACACCTAAGTCATGATTTGAGGATATCTTAAAAATAATCTGGTGCTGGTGAAATGATTTATTGTTGTAAATAACAAGATTTTAATTTAATCTGTTGTTGTTTGGTAGTTTATCAAAAGTATCTGACAGGTGGGCAAGGAAACGTTGGTTCAACTAAGAGGTGATGGTGTATTATCACCTATTGATGACAATATAGTACTTATGATATTTAATTGATTTAATTTTTCATAAATATAATTGCATCCTTATATCAAGAGATCACAATATTCTGAACAAAATTTAATGTAATTTTTGTATTTTTTCCCAAAAGAATTGAAAGAGCTCATCACATTACTAGATCTCTTCCTTCCTCATTGTCACTTATTTATTATTTTATTAATGATAATTAACTTATAATTTATTGTATTATATTTGTTAAATTTCTACTAAAGACAGTTGTAAATTATATAGAGAGATTATCAATAGCTTTTATTAATACATCACTATATTGTGAAAATGGAAAGCAAAAGTGATATGATCAATTCCAAATAATTATTATATGATATTGTTTATGGTTTTATGTGTTATTAATAAGACATTTTTAAACATTTTGGTCAAAGTGATTTGTTACATTAAATTGACTAATAGGTTTTGACAATAAACCATAATATTATGAGAATAGAAAGCAAAACTATTATTTGATCATTTCAAAGTAATTATTATTTGATATTGTTTGCCCTTTATGATCTGTTCATGCGAATCTGCATTTATTTCTATATTGATTTAAATATCAAAATGTGAAATTGTAATATTATATTGCTGGGAAATATAATAGTTTATGCTGTGAATAATAAATCCACATTAGTATATTATCAAAGTGGTATGGGTAAAATTAAATTTACCAAACTAAGGACTAAGGACTAAGCTTTTATTTCACCTACATACACTATTCAATATTTTATATTTTTACTACAAATAATTATGAATTTTTACTACTGTTGGAAGTATGTTTTTCTATTTTTTTTGCATAAAAAATTAATTGGTTAAAATCTCAGAGCGTTACTAATGCCTCGGGACAGAATTTCACGGATTATTAATTTTTTGTTTCGCTTGACCAATGTTTTTGCCTCAGAATAGTCCCGCCATATAAATCTATATTTAAAAACGAAATCCTCTGAATATTTTAGTAATATATTCAGAAGAAATAAAAAGTATTGTAAAAAAATGATGTGTCTATACCTATATTTACAATTTGTCAAGGCCGACGTCTGAAACCGGAATAAAAGTAAAAACTAAAGACTTAATGAAAAGAAACGCTATTGATTGATATTACTATTTTAAGATTCATTCACTTTTTTATTGGGGAATAAAGTGAGTTTTTATTGAAGAATTTACAATACGTTTTGAAGAGAGAAATAATAAAATTTATAGCTTGTGTCATAATAGTATGATATTATACTGCATATGCGCAATTTATACAACAAAAGAAAATTTTCATGATTATTCTAAGACGGTTTGTCTGTTAATTAAAGTTGTAGTTGGGATCGTTAAATTTTATTATTGGCTTTGTGTAAACAAACGTAGAACGCGTGCTTATTCTTGATAGAAATCTTGGCCTGATAAAAGACATTCTGAGGCAAAAATTACATATGTACATATTTTATCATAAATATATTTTATTATACGAAATGAACCCATAATAATATTTTTTCCTTTTTTGCTTGCAGGAGAATTTGAGAGCCGAAATCCAGGAAGAAAACACATATGGTGTCACCTTGGTGTGAAACATTATAAAAGGTAGGATTTTTGCAATTAAGCTTAAAAATTTATTGCACAAAAATAGTAAAATGTATAATGCATTCAGATTTAACAAACCCTGTTAAATTATATATCTAGATTAAATAAGATTAATTCATTTCATATCCCCCGCATTGTCAAACAAAAAGTCGTCGGTGGTCGCCTTGAAAATAATAAGGTGAACAGTCTCAGTCGAATGCTTCTGTATGCCATTTGTTGGTTGCACCTACGTGGTTTCTTACAATAATATACAATGTGCATTTCTTAATATCCAGACAATCATAATATAATAATAGCCTCATAAGCCGATGACTTCATTAGTCATAAACCTTTCGTTTTTCGGATCAAGTGAACACCTTGATTTCATTTATTGAATATTCATATAACCAGAGATGATTCATTGTAAGTCATAAATTTAATACTCATTGTCAGAGATAAGAGAAGATTTTTACCAAGTTTCTCATCACGCCCTTCTCAGGGTAAATTTACCTCTAAATGCACCAGATTTATAATCTATCACATTTGGTGTAGTGTACAGATGTAATTGACAATAGTGATTTTTATTATGTACTTATAAGTAGACACTGATGATGCATCATTGAATAGACTTCATCTCTTCCATCTTTAGGTCTGTAGAACAAATTCTTGAGAGTTTTTCCGGCTCTAAATGCCGTCGAAAGACGCGCCCAGAGTAACCTCTTTATATTGTGCCATTGTTCTCTAAGGTGGGTTGAGTAGATGGCGACGACCTAGGCTTAACCCAACATTTAGATAAAGAGTTGATGGGTAAAATAAATTATATTAAAAATATGCTACCATAGTAATCCATGATCTTATTGAGTTAGTTACAGTATAGAAAAACCAAAGAAAATAAATTATCAAGTGTTATATTCTAATTTTAGTCAACAGTCCACAGCTTTCCTTGATCTTGGGCCCTACAATATAAATATAGGTCTTTATTTTTTAGGCAGATTTTCAAATAGGTGCGAATGAAAACTAGGAATAATACAAAATTGATCGTGCAAGTGTTGTAAAGAACCAACCACAATAAACCATATTATTTGAAAATGTAAAATCCTTAAAAATCAAAGAAAATGTGGTATTGAAAGCTAAATAATAAAGGATTTTTTTTCAAGAATTTTGCAAACTTTGATGTCCAGCAATAATATTGAAATATACAAAATTTATAATAAATTTATAACTGTTAACTTCGTTCGTCTCCAATCACTCGCTTATTGTCTCTAAATACACTCTCTACGATATTTATATGTCACTATTTGTCTCTCATAATATAAAATCTAAAATATTGAAAACAACGAAGTTATGTTTAATAATTTTTAATAAATTTTGTATACATTTCGAGTACCCATTCAGGTCTTCTTCAGTACAAAACACGAGCAATTAAAACAAACAATGAAACACGTGTATACGGCTAAGTTTTTAAAATTAAATTTAATGTTTATTTTGAAATATCAAACTAAAAATAGATATAAACATATATATATATATATATATATATATTTGTATACATATAAACAAAACAATGCAAAATATATAAAACGTAATAAAAGCTGACCAAGACGTTTCAATATCAACAGTTCTAAAAATGTTGATACCTATGTTGCTTCTAAAAACTTATAAAATCTCACAATTTCATCACATTATTAAAAATTATTTAGTATTTTGGATTAATTTATTAAATAAAAAAAAATATAACTATAATGTACTTAGAATAGTAGACTGGTTACTCACATATGTAATGAGAGCCTAAATATTTTTATTTTAATTTTAATTTCAATTATAATCTGTCCATATCTAAATATTTTTATTTATTAAAAATATTAAGTATTCTGGACAACTTTATGATTTATCAAAAAATTTAATATATGCATAATATACATAAAATAAGAAACATGGCTACTCATATATGTAATGGGATAATTTCAATTTTAATTTTAATTACAATCTGTCCATATCTAGACATTTAGTAATTGTTTTGACATTATTTATATGGTTTAGTTCAGATGGCAACCTAGTAGTTATCCTATCCAGGAGTAACTAATGACTTACTTTAGTATTTTTTGAAGTTTTATAATTTTTATATGTAGTCAAACAACAACAAATAAATTGCATCAGATAATTAATTCAGTTATAAATAAAAAAATGTACAAAAATATAAGGCAAACCCTTGAGTTTTCCTTTTAGAAAATGCCACAGTTAATTTCCAAATCAATTACTCATTTTCTATCTATAGACAGTTTGTAATTTATATGCAGGTAACAAATTTTAAAACAGAGCATATTTTACTGTATTACATAACATCAGAAAACAATAAAAATTATGGACAAAATTACATTTTTCCACCTCCTCAAACTGCATCTCATCATTAAAGAATTAATTGTGTGAATTCTCCTCGACTGTGTATGATCTAATTTCCGAGGAGACAAAGTTGGGCAATATATAGAATTATTTAATTCTTGTGTATAGAATTATTTAATTCTCCCAGCTTCTCAACTAAAACCAAAGTCTTTTACCATATGCACTATATTGTTGTTAGAGGTGCAACTTGCAGTCGCAGTGAAAGCGATTTGCCAATTCCTTATGCTAATACCACATACCGATGGATAATTCGCCCATGGTGATAAAGCATGTCTATATCTCAATTATATCATACCATATTATATAAAACAATATTACAAATAATTAGCATATTGTTTTCGCAAATTAGTATTGTAAATAGCGGTAAAAATAGTGATGGAATAATTAGTTGCGAAGGTTCAAACGAGTTTTTAATTGAATGATAGTTATATTTATCTCCGCAATTATAGGTGACCTCTTCAATTATATTTATCCATGTGGTAATAAATTTTTTATACTTTGGTTGATTTATAATTTTCTTTAGTAAGTATGTATTAATCATACAAAAGCCAGATTTTTGGATTCTGACCTCGGAGAAATTATTTTTTTTTTCAAAGCTTGGGTAGAGCGGGGCTTAATGGTCCGTGGGTAAAAAGGTCCACCACTGATATCTAAAAAGCAAGTGAAGTTAAGTATTTTCAAGAACAATTTTTTAAAGTAGAGATGTATAACCGCCCCCTCTATTGATAAATATTTCTGATAAAATACCAGATCAAGGTTATATACAGTGTTATCTTCGTGAAAAATGTGCCCATAAAATTTATATATTGCATTGGTTGAATATTGTAGCTATTATTGAAAATAAGATTTTGGACCAGCTAGCCCACTGACCGTCTCATTTTATACCGCCTGTGGGGTAAAAAGAACCAGATTATAATATTTAAAAAACACATTTATACAATGATGAATTTGCTGGAAGTTTTACCAAATCTAGTCGGATAGTTGTTTGTTCGATATGTATTATTTGTTCTGATATAATTGGTTTGGTTTTTACAATATAATTTTCCAAAGTCAAATTGGACTTTTGTGCTCCGCATTACCCTATACAAAAATGCTTGAATATAAGGTAGATTTAATATAGTAATTATATTGCCGTTTGATATACCAAATAATTTATTCATATTATTTCTGATTTTTGTAAAAAATGTAATAATCGTAGTATATATTGAATAATAATAGTAAATACTCAAATCTCAGTTTGAATAGTATTTAAATAGTTTTTCGACTTCTAAATTTTATATCTAAAAAAGATGGATAAAATCTGTTTAATTATCAATATTTCTAAAAATTATCAATGAATAGAATATGTGTAATTATCAATTATGGATGGATAGAATCTGTTTAATTATCAATATTTTTAAAAATATTGATTGATTGCTCTTCATGCGATATTTGCATATTTATACGATAAGAAAAGATTCTTATTACTATAATGAATAGTTTTTGAAATTTTGAGTTGCTTCAGTAATGTGAAGAAAACTTATCTTATTCTATTTTTTTTGATAAAATATCTATATTATATTTTATGAAAATTCTAAAGTCAACTCTTTAAGTACGAAAAAATTTTGAGTTTATAACTAAGAAAGACATCATGGTTCTTAAGATGAAAACTCTTATAGAATCACTCTGCATTAATTCTTTAAGTGTAATATTGCATAAAAATGTATAAAAACAATCAAACTCCTGTATCAACACCATTTCATGAACAAACAATTTAATGTTGCAATATTCCACATTGCAAATACATAATTTTATTATAAAACCGATTCATATCATGAATCCGTATCCATTGAATAAACACATCAAACACACCATGATGGCTATTATTCAGACAATACGACCACTAATATGCATCAAATAGTTATAATTTGAATATAAATATTAAAGGTGTGCCAAGTGTATCTATTACTTTCAAGTATAAATTACTTTCTCACCTGCAGGGCTGACGGCAGGTTATTTGAAGGCAGACCACAAGACGCCGGCGTATCGATATGTTTTACAAAGCTGCATAATTCAATGATAAATAAGAAATAATCAGCAAAGAAATAAGAGCTTTTTTGAAGTAAAACTTCTTTAGGCGCGACTAGGGTGTAAATCCGTACAAATGCAACGGAAGTGCGTTACGGCAGATAAGAGTCGAGCGCCAATGATTCGTCATTCGCTTTCGATGATATCATTTCTATACGGGTCGATTGTGATTAGGCGTCGTGTATGTGAATAGAATTCTGTCGTTGTATGCGTACCGGCGTCAACGTTGTATGCGTACCGATATCGACAAGTACATCGGCATTGATAAATAAACATTTTAAAATTACATCGTAGTACAAATCTTGATTTAATGAAAAATGCCTGAATCAGAAGAATATTTTACCCTGTTCCTTGAAAATATTGATTAACAAGATTAATGATTAGTAAGTTTATTGATTAGAAATTATTTCTAAATTATTCGTAGTTTCTATAAATCTTTGAAGTTATTGAAATGGAAAATAGTTTTTAGGCAAGACAGATATTACACTGTTCAAAGAATTCGATTATATCGGCAGCGAAAAAGTAAAAAAATACAAGCAGTCAATGAATTTTAA